GTGACATCCTCTATCCCACATGCCATAACACATAATATATTGAATAACTGAATAACCTCAAATATAATAGATAAGCTCAAAATCATACAGGTAGAGAGAATCAACTTCTAACATAAACTAAACTTAGTGGAAATATTAAATTACAAAAGGAATTAAAATTAAACTACTCAAATTAAATAACATAAATCAAATCCTAACTAGTCCTAACTAATTCTTCGGTGTCACGTATCCTATTAGAGCATAATCCTTCCATGAAGATTGAGCATTGTCACCAACATCCTCAACATCATGTTGAAGATAACCTGCAATAACATACAAGAAGAGCAACACAAAACAAGAGAAGTGAGAAACATCTCACTCTAGCTCACGACGTAAGATGTAGTCAGGTAGTCAAATACAAACAAGACATATATCAACATAATATAAACTTATCGATCATATAACATATTCCATTCATTCACGATATAACAAGTAAATACCACGTGGCATTAAGATGCATTATGTAATGGATACATACTAAATTTTATCATGCATGTGGCACCAATAAAAACATCACATATCACATATGTGCATTGCCACTAGCAATACATGTAGAGTAGTTTAAGAGTACATGTCGGGTCACACCCTCTGTGCACTTTCATTAGAAGGACATACTACTAGGGTTTGATCAGGATAGCTAAACTGTGCCAGATACATCCCATGCTCATGAGGGAAGGACTGAGACTTCCAAACCGAACTATCTCTAAGGTAGGTTCCCAAGCTTTTTGATAAATGTCTAACTAATCTGATTAAATATGCATTGAGACACTTATCTAGCACAATTTTTGTACATATTGATATTATTTTGGTCTATATATGCTTAGAATCAAAGAGGGACTTTTGATTCATGTTAGTACAGGGAGCAATGAAGCTTTTGATTCAATTTTGTGTTTATTTTGTAGGTTTTGGAATTTGGAGGAAAATGGCTCAGCCATTCAAAAGGGCTGAGCGGATTCAAGCTAGAGAGCCATCCAAAAGTGCACCAAACCAGAGGCGCTCAGCCACTCCAATCCGCTGAGCGGATCTGACCCAGGAAGAAGGAGTGCTCTCTGCCTCCTAGGCGCTCAACCACTCAATTTCGCTGAGCGGATATGGCCCTGGAAGAAGGATGCTCTCTGCCTCTTAGGCGCTCAGCGGATCTGAGGCACCCAGCCCCTTGTGCTTGCTTAATAGTGAAGGATCTCTAAGGCGCTCAGCGGATCTAAGGGGCTCAGCCCTTCAGGTTACTTCATGGTGAAGAATTCCTCAAACCGCTCAGCCGTTTCAAGGCGCTAAGCAGATTCTTCTCTTTCCTGCTTACTCTGTTTTAATTCCATCACATATATAAGGGCAGAGGAGTGAGAAAAGGGGAGGAGAAGCTGTACGAAGAGAGAGAACAAAGAAATGAGAGAAACAGAGCATTTTGGAGCTCGTGGGAACGCGAATCTTCAGAGGATCTCTTTCTTCTTCTACCTTTCATCTTGTTATTTGGTGATTTCTTGTACTATGGAGAGCTAAGCTCTAGGGATGGGATTGATGTAATCATCGAACACCTTTGTATTCCTCTTTGATTCATATATATATATCTCATCTATTACTCTATGTCAGTGATTTGTTTCTGTTCTTAATGCTTTGATGAACTGATCATTTATCTCTGATTTTGGGTTTAGAATTTGGTTGGAAAACGTTTACTGAATCTAGACTTGGAACGAATCACCTATTAATTTTGAGAGCCAGGGATGGTCTTGAAATTAATAGTTGCAACAAGTTCTGACTCTTAATGCAGGATATTTAAATGAATGAAGTGAGGAATCATTCATTGAGTTAAATATCTTAGAATTTCTTATGCCAAGAGATTGGGTTTGAATGAAAATAGAGAACTCAATGGCCATGAGTAATGGAATCATTTGAAAGAATCAATAGGAATGCATAGGAGGGAGATTGATGAAATCTATCCCAACTGTTTCTCATATCTATTTGCCTTAAATTTTATCTAACTTTTGGCTACTTAAGTTTGATCTATCATCCACATCAAATTTGAACAGGTGTAATTACTCAAGTTTTAAATTCACAAGTACCAATTAGTATAATAGAAATCAAAGCTTACTTCACAAGTCCTTGAGGATCGACAACCTTTTAATTATACTACAGAGACTTGGGTGCGCTTGCCCAGAAAGCCAACACTTTTACCCAAGGGACCTTCCCTAACGGTGTATTCCACATCGTACATTTAAAAATATTTTATGCATAAGATGCATGTCAAATAGACTCTATGCATTATATTCACATGGTCTTATACCATAACACATCACACATCTTATCATATCATATTATATCATGGCTAAGCCTTGGTGTTAGGGAAAAAAATACACACTAGAAGGAAGGGTTGAATAATATATATCAAAAGCTCGTGCTTTTAATATGTAGTGAAGCAGTAGAAGCTATGACAAATGAAGTACTGGAATACAATCAAATGAAAGGAAACATATATTTTATATTGGTTCGTCTTAAACACAGAGACTACGTCCAATTCTTAATCCAACCAGATTGACTTTCACTATCTTTTTCAAGATACAAGTATTCTTTCACAAGTCACTTCTGGCTCAAACCTAAGTAGTCTTTGACTTGCCTCTCCAAGCAACTACCCAAGTATTCTTTCAACAAGCTTTTCCAGGCTCAGACCCAAGTATTCTTTCTACAAGACTCTCTAGGCTCAGCACCAAGTATTTTTTTTACAAGCCTCTCTAGACTCAACACCAAGTATTCTTTCAACAAACCTCTCCAAGCTCAACACCAAGTATCTTTTCAACAAGCCTCTCTAGGCTCAACACCAAGTATTCTTTCAACAAGTCTCTCCAGGCTCAAACTCAAGTATTATTTTGAACAAGTCTTTTCATAATTAACCCTTACAAATAAATTTGACAAGAGTTACAAGGATATCTTTGTCTCTTCTAGACATGATGCTATGAAAATACAACACAAAACGTCTACAAAGAACTATGTATAAGATTTACAATGAAGAGTTTCTTTGTAGTGCTTCAACTTTGTTCTCAAAATGTTTGATCACTGTAAAATGCTTAGTGAATGTTGATCTTTTTATGTACAATGCTTTTCTTCATATGTGTATTCTATATTCTCTTTTTTTTTGCCTGGTGTCTAAGATCCTTATATAATAGCTTTAGAGAAGATGACTGTTACAACAATGTTGAGTTTGAACGTTTTTAAATTTCTTCATAAGTTGTTTCATTTGTCTTCTTTGTTGATCCTAAAGGTTAACGTCGATACATTTAATGCAAGCATTAAATTTCATTCAGTGAAGTGTGTATCTCTTATATGATCTTGGTAACTAGTTATCATCATTTACTTCTAAATTGAGCACATTAGAAATAGTGTCAGAGCAGAGCAGTTGAAGTTGGCGTAGAACAGTCTTTTGTGGTGTTTTTTTTGTAATATCTAGGATTTTTCTCTTTGCTTCTCATGGACATTTTGTCTTTTTCCTCTTTAATGCACTTCGAGAGTTCCAAAGCTTCTTTTTTTTTTATATTTGCTAAGGAATAAAATATTAATGCTTCTCAAAGAATAATCTAACATTTTAACGAGAAATAAATGTATCATAATACAAATTGTATGCTTTGTCTAGTGTACTTCATCTTACAAATGAAATATGATATCTACTTTGTTTGAAATAGTCTCTTGAAAAGATTTGTTTGTTATCATAAAAACTCATAACTTCTTGATCATAAAAGCTCTTAACTTCTTGAGGGATTTAAGATTGTCTTTTGATTTTACAAACTCCCGTTTTGATTTTACACTTGGTTAGACTTCTCATCATATGACCATCATAGGATCCATACACATCAAATGCATCAATGTTAAGACACATCAATCAATTCATACATAGCTCACAATATGTCATCAATGGCATACTCATACACTATAACCAGTTATTAAATAATATAATGATTAAACAATATCATCCAATATACCTCAAGTAAGAATCATTATGAGATAGTTTAATCATATATTAGCACCTTAACCATAATCACTGAGATAAATGTCACTAAGAATTTCTAGCAACTTTATCATTGTCACACATGAAGTCCTTAGATATCCCTATCATTAGAACACTTCAAGTCATTAACAATTCTACTATATGTACCGCTATGCCGAGCTCGAGCTCGGCATCTCAGCACAGAGTGACCTCGGACACGCGCTAGGCCACGTCAGCCCTACATCCAATTAGGTCATAAATTGATCTCGGGCCCAAGGCCCAGAAAAATCCTAATCCACACAAAGGTACGTGCATTACTTATACGAGACTCATACTCCCACAAAGACTAACTTTAGCATCGGAGTCTCTTTTGCAGGTACCACCCCCATATTGGAACATCAAGCGTACCAGTGAAGGAGGCTCACCAATCTTACTCGGAGGATCATCTCTACAGCAGATTTCCGGTAAGAACATTTGGCGCCCACCGTGGGGCCGATCAAGACAGCTCTTATCGGCCAAACTTATGGTTTTCACCCGAAGCCATAGTAGACGCGCAACAGACGACGTAAATCACACGACTACCATGGACAGCGAAGCAGTATTGAGGAGACTGATCGAGCAGGTCGAGCAGATGCGGCAGCAACACACCGCCGATCTACAAAGTATGCGTGCCAAGCACGAAACTGACCTAGCCGCGATGCGTACCGCTAATGAGGCTGACCTAGCGGCGCTGCGCGCCGAGAATGGGTGTATTCGCGCTCAGCTCCCTCGACGTCCCTCTGATCAACCCCCTCAACAGAGTAACCTACATGAGGAGGAGGGGCACTCGGTTTCTCAACCGCCAACAGCGACTAGGGCACCGACTCCCAGGCCTACCACACAACGGTCCCACGTACCGACGAACAGGTCGGCCCATGACGTCAGCAATGCTCCTTCCCACATCACGAGCAATCAAGCGACCTTCCGCCGTCATCCTTTTGTGGATGGCATCATGGAAATACCTATCCCTTTCGGGTGGAAGCCTCTCCACATCGACCGTTACGATGGCACGACGGATCCGGACGAGCACATCGATTTATATACTACACAGGTAAACCTTTACACTAATGAGGATGCTATTCTGTGTAGAGTTTTCCCGACCTCGCTTAAGGGGGCTGCGCTCAAATGGTATACCCAGCTGCCTGCCAAGTCGATTGACAGCTTCGGCACTCTGGTCAGCCGGTTCACAGCGCAGTATGCAATGAGTCGACCCCATCACATAACGTCAGCTGCTCTGGCCAGCCTCAGACAGAGCGGCGACGAACCACTACGGACGTTCATGGAACGCTTTGCCAGTCTCTCGGTCAAGATTCGAAACTTGAACCCCGAGGTGGCCCTACACTCCATGCTCATGGCGTTGAAGTCAGGACCTTTCGTTGAAAGCCTTTGCCGACGACCTCCTCCCAACATGGATGAGCTCCGAGCTCGCGCTGCTGGATACATCCAGATGGAGGAGCATGCCGAGTTCCGCAAGGCAATTCGCGACAAACCATAAGGAAAGCAAGACCAAGGTCAGGCCACGAACATTTAAAGTTGGCGACCTTGTTTGGCGATTACGGGGAGAAACAAGAACAGACCCCTCCAAAAGAAAATTTGGAACTTGGATTTCCACCCACCTCAAATTTTATTTCTCTTAACTTGTAAATTCAGGTGATGTACTCTTTTTCCTCCTCAGCCTTTTTCCCACTAAAGAAAAGGGTTTTTGGCCAAGGAAGGTTTTAACGAGACACACCTCAGAAATAAATCAACAAAGCAACTCCATTCCCATACATTTTCGGTATTGGCACATTAACCATGACGACTTGCCAAGGTCGAGTTTGAACCTTGGTGTTAAAGTTGAGTTCGAGCCTTCAAATACAAATTACGTTGCCAAGGTCGAGTCCGAACCTTGAGACTACATTTTCTTAACTAAGGTCGAGTTCGAACCTTGTTATGCCAAGGTCAAGTTCGAACCTTGTTATGTCAAGGTCGAGTCCAAACCTTGAGACTACATTCTCTTAACCAAGGTCGAGTTCGAACTTTGTTATGCCAAGGTCGAGTCCGAACCTTGAGACAACATTTTCTTAACCAAAGTCGAGTTCAAACCTTGTTATGCCAAGGTCGAGTCCGAACCTTGCGATAACATTTTCTTAACCAAAGTCGAGTTCAAACCTTGTTATGCCAAGGCCGAGGGGGAACCTTGAGACTATATTCTTTTAACCAAGGTCGAGTTCGAACTTTGTTATGCCAAGGTCGAGACCGAACCTTGAGACTACATTTTCTTAACCAAGGTCGAGTTCGACCCTTATTATGCCAAGGACGAGTTCAAACCTTGTTATGCCAAGGCCGAGGGGGAACCTTGAGACTATATTCTTTTAACCAAGGTCGAGTTCGAACTTTGTTATGCCAAGGTCGAGACCGAACCTTGAGACTACATTTTCTTAACCAAGGTCGAGTTCGAACCTTATTATGCCAAGGACGAGTTCAAACCTTGTTATGCCAAGGTCGAGTTCAAACCTTGTTATGCCAAGGCCGAGTCCGAACCTTGAGACTATATTCTTTTAACCAAGGTCGAGTTCGAACTTTGTTATGCCAAGGTCGAGTCCGAACCTTGAGACTACATTTTCTTAACCAAGGTCAAATTTGAACCTCCGAACAACAAATTTGGGAGCTCCTCAGAAGCCCCTTCGCTCTTACATCACTCGGTGCTTGGGGGCAAGTGTACTGGCCAGCCGAGTTGCCGATTTGTCCCTCATCAATCTATTGACTCGGTCAAAGGTTTACCAGCCTGACCAAGCAATAAACTCTATATTGCCGAGTTCCTCAGCTCGGCCATGAAACATGGACATCGGAATACCACATCGGCCCAAAGAGACGACGTCATAAAACAGATAAAAATATGATCTTGTCACCGCGCCACAATCACAAGGTAAAACCCTAACAATGCCAATGTACCGGTAGATAGTAAAAACCCTAATATTACCAAGGTACGTCTACATAACCGTCACCTCCCATTAACACGCCGCCCGCATGTTTCGGGGAGCGAGGTGACACTTATGACACATGGCATCACAGCAGAGAAGCGTACGCGAAGGGTCACGACCCCCTACCGAGCTCGGCATTAACTCCTTGACCCACGGTCTTCGGAGCTCGGGGGGCTAGTGTACTATCTGTACCGCTATGTCGAGCTCGAGCTCGGCATCTCAGCGCAGAGTGACCTCGGACACGTGCTAGGCCACGTCAACCCTACATCCAATTAGGTCATAAATTGATCTCGGGCCCAAGGCCCAGAAAAACCCTCATCCACACAAAGGTACGTGCATTACTTATACGAGACTCATACTCCCACAAAGACTAACTTTAGCATCGGAGTCTCTTTTGCAGTTACCCCCCCAATATTGGAGCATCAAGCGTCAGTGAAGGAGGCTCACCAATCTTACTCAGAGGATCATCTCTACAGCAGATTTCCGGTAAGAACAACAATCAACTTACATCATAACCTATTAACAATTATTTCATACCATAATTCATCCTTCCTAAACATTGATATAAGTACCTCAAACCACTCATAAAATCAAATACTAAAATGGTAAAGCTATTCATCATCCTTATTACAAATTAACCTTCTAAGACATTGTGTGATCCAAACGTCGTATCTAGAGCTATATATATGATATCAAGTTAATATTAATTTTATTAGAAAGATAAGCCAATTATCTTCAATTTCTATGTTGACCCCAAGAGCTAATTATGTCATCTACTATTTAAAAAAAAAATACAAAATTACAACATTTTAGCCTAAACCTAACAGCTTGACCTCCGTTCACTAATTTAATAATAACTTGAGTTATAGACCTCCTTTTTAATTGATTTCAACAACATTTGAAAGATAACATCTAGGGCTACAACTTTTATGGGTATTACAAAATCTAATTATGTCATTTAAGTCTACTATAAAGGCTTACAACACATGTATGTTATATTTCACACACAAGAATATAAGGTTCATCTTTTAACTCACATAACTTTGTCACTCCTTAACATTTTTATGTTATTCTTGAGTCTAAACTATAGCCCTAAAGTTTTTTAGAGAAATCACATAAATATCAAGGTATGTTCTTACTAGAATTTTCAAAACAAGCCACAACTCACATCCAAATTTTTTTCTCCCAATCCAATCGATAAAAATATAGATTAAAACCTAATACTACTCTATTATACCACCAATTACTCAAATACAACATTAATTTCACATTCTAATTACGTGCTCCTATTAACTACTCACACAATAACTATTTAGGGTTCTCACAGAAACTCAGAGACAATCCAAATTTCACAATTATATGTCTAATCACAAAATTAGAGACATATACAACTACACCACATCATATAAAACAATAAAAAACATATGAAAGATAAAAAAACATAATGAAATCAATTGGGGAAACCTCCTTCATACAATACAAGCAACAAAGAAGGGATTAGGGGTCAATCCCACTACCTAACATAATCCCTTGTTTAGAGCAAGACTACTCATTTCTACCTTACCTCGACGAACGCTTGATGAGGGACGTAAATCTCCAAGGTGTTCTCCTACGAGCTCTAGTTCTCCTTCCCATTCTTGAAGAACCATAGAAATTGAGGAGTGTAAAAATAAAAGAATTATTGTAACCCCTTTTTAAAAACTTAATACACACATTTCTTTTCTCCCTTAAATATTAAAACTTATAAATAAATAATATATCAAATAAATATATTTCTTCCAACCAAAATAATTATAATGAAATACAATAATTAATAATTAAAAAATATATAATATATAAAATAAATCTATTTTTTCCAAAATAATTATAATTAAAATAAAATATATAAAAAAATTATATTAAAAATACATTTTTCTACAAATACTTATTACAACAAAATATCATAAAAATACATATTTCTCTAATAAATATTATACAAAATAATTTTCATAAATATTTATTATTTAACTAAAATACTCATAATTATTAAAAG